ACTTGCAGGAAAAAGTGTGTCCCCAACCCTCTAACTTTGCACATGAGATTAAATGGCTCGTCCCTCTGTGATCAATAGGTTGCCGGAAGCACTGAGGGGGATGTTTTTTGTGGCATGCACATAAGAGTTTCTAATGCAGAAGAGACAGAATCTGGGGCATAAAACCCATCTTCCAAACAAAAACACAAAGGCACTTTAGCAAAAGTTCTGTTCTGTGGCTGTTAATGTGTCAGAGGCAGGGAGGCTGGAATTAGGGTCGGAATGCGTGTGTGTGTGTGTGTGTGTGCGTGTGTGTGTGTGTGTTTGGGGGAGGGGGTTTCCTGGAGGGATGTAGCTGAGACATCCCTGCATGTTTAGGGGCCTGGCCAAACCTGGGGTGAAGCATGGTTTGGTCACCTACTAGCTGCATGACCTTGGAGAGGTCACGCAACGTCTCTAAGCGTCAGTTTCTTTATGAAAGAACAGGACATGAATGGATGTGTATTAAATGCTCAGCCCTCTAGGGAGGAGAAAGATATCACGGTGATGATGATGAGGTTGGTGGCAATGACCACCTGGGGGCTGGGGCATGACAAAGTCCAGCCAAGTGCCTCACTTCACCCTCTCAGGTAAGAAGCAGCTTCAGCCACTTCAAAGCATGCTTGGTGGGAAAGAGGTTGGGCCGGGCAGTTACAGAACACGTCTGGGACAGCCGCCCGGTCTTGGACCTCTGCCTGGGAGCCCCTGTTCCTCCACTGCCCTGACTTCCGTACGCCACCAGTTGTTTGTGTGTGCAGAGACTGGAAAGTGATTTTAACATCAGGACTGGTGACCACGGTGAAGAAGGAGAATTTGTGTCATTTGACATTTCTGTTTCGTTTTGGCTTTTGAGTGGTCTGCGCCCTGTGCTCAGCAGAAGTTAGCGGTTCATGGCAACAGTGGCAAGCGTGAGACCCCAGGCAGCCACGGTCGGCAAGCAGGAGAGAAGATCCCCGGTGAGGCAGCTGGGGTTCTCTGGACCCCTCATCGTCCATCAGCACCTTGGCTTCACTCAGCTCTCCCTTCGCGGGGGCCGTGTGAGTCTGCACCACCTCTCTGGCTGACCATGTGGCAGGAATTAGGTGGTTACTTTACAAGCCTGAGCTCAGTGAAACTTCACGGCGGCCTCACAGAGCAGGCCGTAGCTGTCTGCCAGCGTCCTTGGCTGTAAGCAACAGAGGCAGACTCCTATTACTAGGAGGAGGAAGTTTACTGGAAGGGTGTGGGGACAACCGGAGCTGTCGGAGGCGGTTTGGGAAAGGGGTAGAGACCCTGTGACCCCCAGAGACACTGGTGGGCTATTCCGGTCCCACCCCTGCTGCTGCCACCAACACAGCTTCCAATCCTGCCCGCACCCTTGCTCCGTCGGTCAGGTGGGTTTGCTGAGTTTACTTCAAGGCCCACCGTTTGGCTGGTCCAGGGCCGGAAATAAAGGTCTTGTACCAATAGTGCCAGGCAGGCCCCATCTTTCTCCAAGACCATAATTACCAGGGGGTTCTGAAAGGAGTTTTGAAGGTGGAGGACTGGATTCTACACAGCGCACATTGGCAAATAACCACCGTTACTGTCTCCGTTGTACAGATTAATAAACTGATGCTCAGAAGAGTTGAGTAAATTGCCCGGTTTCTGCAGGCAGCAAACCGCAGAACTGGGAGCTTTCTGCCCTCGGTATTCTCTTCCCCCAAAATCTAGGCTTCTAGGCACTAAGTCACCCTTTCTTTGACTAGAGAATATGTTGGTTAGGGCAAGTGCCGCTCACAGGTCATCTACTCAAAATGAACTAGCAGCATGGAAACGTGTCAACTCCCATGCTCAGAGCTGGCTAACCCAGGGCCTTAGGCACAGTGCCAGAGACTGCGCCACACTCATCCGAAGGCTGGTCCCCTCGGGGTTGCAGAGTGGCAGTCATTGGCATCCACGCTGCTTGCTTCCTGCCTTATGTCTCACTGGGGAAACTGAGTCGACTTCCATATTCTCTCTCTCAAGTCCATGCAAGAACTTTCTCAGAAGCCTCTTGCAAACCTCTCTTCAAGTCTGGTTGGAATCAGGTCATGTGGCCACTACTAAACCACTGGCTGGAGGTGACTAACCTCAGATCTGCTGGGGGAGCTGAAGTCAGTCCCAACGTGTGTGGCCTTTACAAGGTGGCAGGGGGTGGCCTGGACACTGTAGAGCTGACTGTGACCCACTGGAGGAAATAATGACGTATAATTGAACTCACCTTTTACTTAGAGTAGGGACCTCGGCCAGTTAATACACTCACCATGCTGGTACCTGTGACCAAGTTTAGCTCTTTCTCTACTAAATGTTTTTGCTACATAGCAATAGTACAAACAGAATGAAGATAAATTATTTGTTCCCAGCCTGGATTTTAGCATCTCTGTAATCTGGCCAGAACACAGCTATGACAGATCTCTTGCCCCAGAGCTTTGCAACCACCTTCCATTACCATGAGAGGCTCATTTTATTTTTCTATGATGTGGCTTCCTTTAAATGTAATCATGGCACCATCCATGGGTGACTCTCAGTTTGGGGTAGATGTGCAGGTTGGGCAGAGCAGAAACTCCACCCAAGGCAGGGCATTTTGTACACACCTTCCCTAGAAGTATCGCGCCATTAGGATGCCATGGATCTCAAGCAACAGAAACTCAAGTTGAATCAACTTATGGAAGAAGAAGACTAAAAGAGATACTTGAGTAGCTCAGAAAAGATGCAACAGGCCCCCAGGCACCAGTGAAATCAGGGGCTCAAATGGTATGAGAATGTTCCATCTTTTGTTCTGCTTCTTGAGCACCTGCTCCATCCTGTTCCCTTGCACACTGACTTTGTCTCTTCTGACACCCTCATGGAAGGAAGAGGGGCTGCCTACAATGGTTCATGCCTTATTCCAAGATATTGGTTGCTCTTTTTTAAGGATCCTGGAGAGGTCTCTGATTGGCTTAGTGTGGCTCAGGTGCCAGCCCTTGGGGCAGTCACCTCTGGTCAGGAGTCACATTGGGCTTATAGGGTGACTCCTTCAATGCCCACGTAGAAGGCAGAAGGTGGGGGGCAATGGGGCAATTCTCGAAAAGGAGTTCCAGGAAGGCAGTCCCAGAGTGCATCAGACTCACCTCGTGCCATTGAAGCTGAGGGTGGCAGGAGAGAAAGAAGGGAATTTTCTTTGTGATTCTGTGGACTTGGGTCTACCTGGAGTTTTGCAAAGAGACTAGAGCTCTCTATGCTGTTACCACTTCCTAGTCTAGAAGATTCTCTGCAGAAGCTGCTGGATCTTTCAGGAGATGGTGGTTAACAACAGAGCCAGGACAACTCTCTGTCCTCACGCTGCCTGGGGAGACAGATGTGCATCCAGCTCAGAGCCTTCACCAGGGCTCCCACTGGCCTCTGCTGTCACACTCATGGTGCACTGTGGCACTTGTCTATGCACGAACTCCTGAATGTCCTTCATGCTGCAGACCCTCATCTTCTCTGCACACCACATGGGTAAGTCAGGTGACTGATGGACTGAGCAGACTCTCTCCCATTCAAGGCAGAATGACAGAAGTGCTAAATAGAGACAAACTGGTTGCTTTGAGGGGGACAGGATGGCTTTTTCAAACTGGTGGACTGGGGCAGGCATCATAGCTGTGGCACCCCGTGACCTGTGCCATGTGTGGTCAGCAGATGGGGAGGGGTAGGCTGCAGACCCAGTCTGCCTGGAGGGGTTTGGAGGCTCCTTGCTGCTTCGGTCCCTGGCCTGAGTCTGACAACCCGTAATCCCCTCTGGACCACCATCTAAGTCATAGTAATTGAACCTCAGTTGTCCTGAGAAATCAGCATCTACTTGGTATCTACCAGGCCTTCCTGGAGATCCATGTGTTTTCAACTACACAGTCTTACCCATCTTCACAACCATCCCAGGAGGTCAGGAGGGAAGGATGGGATTGGGAGAGGCCGTGGGGAGGAGTTTAAGAAAACCAAGGCAGGGGGCAGGTCTATGAAGGCTTAGGTAACCTCCCACACTGTGTGACCCTCGCCAAGTCCCTTTCCTTTGCTGTGGCCCAAGTTCCCATTTATAAAACAAGGAGCTGGCATTCAGTTACCCTTGTGGGGCTTCCCAGCTCTAACAGTCATGCTCCCTGTGGTATCCTACTGGTTGGGCCAAGTTTCTAAAGAGGGCAGTGGTCCCTAAGTGCCTAAATCCCTTAGCAAGTTGGAGAAGGAGGTAGAAAGTGAACCCATCCTGACCCCCCCCCCACCAGGTGTGCTCTCCTGTTCACCTCTGGGGTAGTGATAGCCCCTCTCTGGTGCCTGGCACATAGTAGGTGCTTGAGAAAGACTTGTCACATAAATGCGCATGAGTTTCCTCACTCCTGAGTAGATTCTAGATTAGTGTTTTTCAACCTTTTTTATTTTTTTATCTCACAGCACACTTGAACTCATAAAACTTCCACAGCACACTTAAATTATGTTGACCAAAAAAAAAAAAAAGGAACAAAAAGAATATGTTTACTGCTTTGAACTTCTTTCAAAAATAATTTAATTAATAATATATACAATTTCTTACAGCACACCTAAGATCCTCTCAGTACACTAGCGTAGTGCCTCACACTGGTTGAAAATCATTGTTCTGGAGGCTGCTGCCTTTCTTTTAGGCTTTCAGAAAGAACCCCTCAACTTGCCCCTTCTCACCCTGGATGGTTTGTTCCTGAATGAGGATTAGATGTATTTTTTTTTTTT